GCTCGCTTTCATCCTGCCTGGCAGCCACTTGTTGTGTTTGATGGAATAATTTCTATGCCGAAAGCCCTCCGGCCGTCACGCTTCCTCAGGACTTAATAACCAAACACCTTCAGAAAGACCCTAACTTCATCCTATGGAAATAATATTCTCCTTCTCTGATACATATATATTTTTTTTTTTTTAAATATATACATATGTATACATATAAAATATATAATGCATATACATGCAGTATTTGAGTGCTCCTAAATGCAGGAGCAAGGATCATTGCTAGGGATGCAGCACCCAGTGTAACCCCCCAGCCCTCTCCATCCCACCCCAGCTCCTGCACCCCACTTTTCTGCAGCAATTTAATTGCTTTCCTCTTTTAATTGCTCCTTTCAAGGCAGGTTTCTCATCCCAAATCTCAGGCGAGCCCATCTTCAGAGCGGTCCTGCCTTTGCAGCTCAAAGCAATTTCTTCTTTGCTCCTTCCCCCCCGGGCTCCCATGCTGCTTGTTATGATGATTATTATTATTATAAATTTATTTCTATTTTTTTCTCCACCCGCAGCTTGCAAGGAGGAGGGGGAAAATCCAGGAGGAATCAAACCGGCTTGATTAAAGGCTACAGAGGAGGATGATGGGCAGCGAGGAAGGGAACCGGCTTTGCCTATATCTCCTGGGGAAGAAGCAGCGGGGAAAGCACAGTGAGGCTGCTTTCCTTTTGCAATGCCATGGCTGGGCCACGTACCCCTCCTAGAAACTTCTCAGATTTGTTTTCCACACCCAGATATTGGGGGAATAAAGGAAATTTCCTCCTTCCGTCGCTGTGGCCAGCTCAGGTATCTCATAATCCAGCTTATTACTCACGCAGGCACTGTCTGCTCGAAGGACGCAGCTCCTCCAGCCACACTTCTTCCTTTGCAATGGGACATTGAGTTAGCAAAGCAGGTTCTTTAAGATGAAGAAAAAAGCCACAGCGATCCCATCCATCACAGCTCGACGTCTCCATCCTTTTTGGGACATATCAGCATGGCACGCCCTGGGGACACACCCTCCCCACAGCAGCTCTCCAGGCGAGCCAAGGGACCCCACCAAGCCGTCCCCACCTTTTCCCACAGCAAGAGTTCATCCCAAGGACCTACAACCACCCTCCAGGCTGGTGGCCAAGTCACAATCCCACTGCAGGACCTGGACCATGACACATCCACAACCCTCCGCCCACCTACACCCCACACCAAGGTGGAAGGCCATGCATAATTCATCCCAACTTTCAGCCAAGAGCATGACCGGAACATCCTTAACCCCCGGGCCAGCCCAAACCAGGAGGAGCTTTTCAGTCACTCAGAGGGACTTTAGGACAGGGCCTGCTCACGAAGCCATCACTCTCCATCCTCTTTGCAACATGGATGAGGGCATACAGATGGCAAAGAGCCTGATTCAGGTGGAGGCTTGTATTGGGTTTGTGTGGCAAGGTTTTGGTAGCGGATGGGGGTTACAGGGGTGGCTTCTGTGAGAAGCTGCTGGAAGCTTCCCCCATGTCCGACAGAGCCAACACCAGCCGGCTCCAAGATGGACCCGCCGCCGGCCAAGGCCGAGCCCATCAGCGATAGTGGTAACGCCTCTGGGATGACATTTTTAAGAAGGTAAAAAAGTTGCAGGGGGCACAGAAACGGCAGCCAGAGAGAGGAGTGAGAACATATGAGAGAAACAGCCCTGCAGACCCCCAGGTCAGTGCAGAAGGAGGGGGAGGAGATGCTCCAGGCGCCGGAGCAGAGATTCCCCTGCAGCCCGTGAGGAAGACCATGGTGAGGCAGGCTGTCCCCCTGCAGCCCATGGAGGTCCACGGTGGAGCAGATCTCCACCTGCAGCCTGTGGAGGACCCCACGCCAGAGCAGGGAGATGCCCGAAGGAGGCTGTGACCCCGTGGGAAGCCAGCGCTGGAGCAGGGTCCTGGCAGGACCTGCGGATCTGTGGAGAGAGGAGCCCACGGAGCAGGTTTTCTGGCAGGACTTGTGACCCCACTGCGGACCCACGCTGGAGCAGTGTGCTCCTGAAGGACTGCACACCGTGGAAGGGACACACGCTGAGCAGTTTGTGAAGAACTGCAGCCCATGGGAAGGACCAACAGTGGAGAAGTTCGTGGAGGACTGTCTCCCGTGGGAGGGACCCCACACTGGAGCAGGGGAGGAGTGTGACGAGTCCTGTCCCTGAAGAGGATGAAGCAGCAGAGACGTGTGATGAACTGACCATAAACCCCATTCCCTGTCCCCCTGCGCTGCTAGGGGCAGGTAGGTAGAGAATTCGGGAGGGAAGTTGTGCCTGGGAAGAAGGGAGGTGATGGAAGCATGATGGAAGAAGGTCCCCATTGTCCATACCTGATTTTAGCCGTGCTGGCACAGCAAATGCCTCTTATCATCCTCTGTGGACCACTGCAAAAGCAACTGCAAGGATGCTTGCATATGAGATGCTCCATACATGATGCATCCCCCTGCCGGGGCAAGGGTCATGAGTCTGTTTCTCCTTAAACACACCTGAAAGAAAAAAAAAAAAATCACCCCCAACCAGTTCTAACCCTTCAGGGTAGCAAAAAATCTCAATTTTAAGTCCAAAAAACCTCCCCCTACAAGCTTCTGTGGCTGGGGGGGCTGCCCTGAGCCCCTTGCAGCCCCCTCAGGCAGCATCTTTCAGAGAATAAGCAAAAAAATCTTTCCTAAACCAGAGCCCTGGGGTTTTATGTATTCATTTTTGTCGGCACAGTCATTAAAGGGAGGCTTCTGTTTAATAGCATTTGCTGGGAGTTTGCAAATACAAGAAGCTCACCAGCTGCCCTGGCACGTTAGCAGCCAGGTGAGATAATGAGGCTGGAGGAAGGGATCAATACAGAGAATATCAAGAGGAAAAAAGGGGAATAATAAATAAAAATATAAAAGTAATAATAAGCTTGGGAAGATGAGTCTTGGTGCAGGACACCCATCACTAGTTTGGATGAGGGGGAGTGGGCTCAAGTCTTGCAAAAAGCATCTTCTAAAGGGTACCAACATAGAAACGCTTGCATTTAATGCATTAAACACACTTTGTGGTTAAAATGGAAAAGGTTTGCCACGTGTGCATGGGAGAAGGTGGTGACCCTGTCTGGGGCTGTCCCCAAATGGGGTGAGATCGGGGTCAGACCACACTTGGGTTAATAACATGGCTCATTAAGGTAGCAGCAAGGAGCCCAGTTGGCTTTGACAGTTCCCCTCTCCTTTGGGGAGAACAATACCCACCGTTAGCAGACAGCATGAGAAATGTCTTCATTAGCTAAAGGACATTAATTTGGGACGAGGAAAAAAAATCCAAGGTAGTAGAGCAGCCTCCCGGTGCCATCGGGCCATGCATGGCAGGGGAACGTCTGCAGCAGAATCCCCTCTGGGCTTTGAAAGCAGCAGCATGGCTCAATGTAGCATCCTCATTTTGGAGTATTTTAATTGAAATTGTAGCTCAGGTGGCCGGTGAGCCCATAGGGATGGTGTCTGGGGTCCCACAGATTGTTTTTATAACGCCCCCTTGCTAAATGAAGTACAAACTCCATGGCTGGCATTATATACAGCATTGCAATAAATAGATATATAGATATTTTTTTAATCGTGCAGTTGCAATCACATAGCATGGGAACTCCCTACCATGCCATGGGGGTGATATTCCTTGAGAATCAGCTGCTTCCCTGCACACTGACCCCAAAGGTGGAACAACTGCAAAGAAAAATAGGAAAAATGTGTGGAAAAATCCACAAGTTCCTTGACACTTTTCCCACGGGCATCACTGATGCTCGTGAGGATGCTCATGGTCCTTTGGCTGCGGCATGCTGCACGGCTGGTCCAGCGACTTTGCCACCCTCTTCGTGCTGTTTCACACCACTGAGACGGGGAGAAAACTTAATCAGAAAAGACTTTAAGGGCAAAGAAAGAAAAACCCAGCAAAGCACATTTGATGGCTAATTAGAAAAATACTCAGAAATCGGTGCAGGGCGGATAATCTTCGCTCCCTGGCAGCAGGAGCCACGCTGTCCCATTTCAAGGTTGAGCGGTCGGGAATATCAATCTGATAATTGTAATGCTACAAATGAAAATCAAATTGAAGCCAGTTAGAGGATCACATTATAAATTGATTTAGTCCTCAGACAAGTTTCCACCTCCTTGGTCCCGGGTTTCTCTGCTGAAGATGGAGAGAGCTCTGGGTACCAGAGATGGAGGTGATGGGCTACATCCTTCTGCCCATTTTCCCTCCATCTCACACCGTTTCGGGGGAGGGGGGGAAAGGGCATTTTGGGGCTTCCTATTGATGCTTGAGGATGTGCAGCTCCAAGGGGGTATATTAACCCCTTGGGATGCTGTCGTTGAAGCAAGGGAAAGAAAACATTGGCACCCAAAGCCAAACCCCGTTACAAAATACTGCAAGGAAACATGCTGATTCCTATAGGATTTATTTCCACGCTCCCAAAATTTCCTTTCCTTCAGAAACCACATGTACTCAGCTCCCAAAAACAGGGGATTTTTGTACCAAATATCCTCAATTCACAGTCAAAAAATGGCTATTTCAGCAAAACCCCCCGTTTCGGCGCAGCCGGCACCCGCTGAGCGCTCCCACCACTATTTCTGCATTTCCAAGTGCCCCAATATATACAGATTCCTTCTTTATACAGGTAATAATATACATCATATTTATATATATATATATTTATATATATATATAGATATTCACACGCAGACACACAGACACCTTCGGCCGAAGAGCTGGCACCTCCAAAGCCCGCAGGGAGGTTGCCGTTCCTGCCGTTAAAAACTCCCTTCTCCCCATGCACAAAGCTGTTTTTTGGGGGGGAAAAAGCCCATTTTTCTTTTTTTTTCCTCCTTAAAAAAAAAAAAAAGAAAAAAAGAAAAAAAGAAAGGGTGATGCACCCAGGGCAGGACCCCCCCCGGCAGCTTTTGGGTGGCTTTTTGAGGTAGGTGCCGGGTGGGTCGGAAGGGGTCCCAGGGTGCTATAGCATTAATGGGACCTGCCAGATGAGCAGGGTGCTGTCGGCATCGCTGCCCCGGCGTGGCGATTCGGCATTGAAGTTACGGTAACCCCGACCTCCCGAAACGATGGCCACCGAGGAGATCTCCTTGCGTGGGGTGTCACGGGCGCAGGGTCGGCTCCGCACCCAGACGTCAGGGTCGTCGGCCATCTCGTAGATGGAGCCGTCCTCCTCGGTGTGTGCCGGCGTGCCGCCGATTGGCGCTTCCCGCACCGACAGCAGCTGCCCGGGGAGGTGGGAGGTGGATCGGAGGCGATATTGTAATAAAATCCCTTTTTTTCTCATTTCCCGAGGTGGGGGGCCATCCAGTTCAGGGGCTTTCTCTTCCTCACCCTCCTCGTCCTCCTCCTGGTCACCCTTCAGTACATCAGGTGCCAGGGTGCTCAACGCCACTGCCAAAAACTCCACGGGGCCACCGTGCCCGTTGAGGGACACGATGCCTTTTCCTGCCAAAAAAAAAAAAAAAAAAAAAGAGGGGTTTTACTAAAAACAAGCCCCAAAATAAGATTGCATCCACGTAGGGAGGGGTTTTTCAGGTGCTCACCAGTGATTTTGGGGATGCCCTCCAAGCGGGGCACGGGCAGCAGCACGATGATGCCCTGGTCGGTGCCCACCCAGAGCGAACCCTGGCAGATAAGGAGGCTGGTGACACGGACGTGTTTTTGACCTGCGAGAGAGGGGAAAAAAAAAAAAAAAAAAAAAAAAAACAGGGAGGGAGGAATTTGCAGCAGCATCTTCCCAGATAACCCATCACCAGTGGATTTTTTTTATGGGGAACACACTCCAGAGCCCCAAAACCAAGCAGCCCCTTTGCACGAAGGTCTCCAGCCCAGGGAGAATGCTACAAATATAAATAAATAAAAAGAGGAGGGGGAAAAAAAAAAAAAAAAAAAAGAGTGAGACTTCTAATGGCAAATGAATATTTTATCGCCGGGACTTAGCGCTGCACGACGTCGGACTCAGCGAAGCAATATATCTGCGGAGATGCAACTCTGGTTTCTCCGGGAGGACTTTATTAATGACCTGTCGAGTTAAAAAGGATGAGAGAGCGCGAGTTCAAAAACGCATTAATACCCAACGCTCACTCGCCCAGGAAGAAAAGGAAGTGATAAATATTTTAACATGCCCTATAAAAAAAAAAAAAAAAAGAAAAAGCTACTTACACGAGTATCGTGCTTATAACTAATTACACAATTATGTCGCTCTGTAGCTGGAACAAGGGGGGAGACAACCTTGCAAGCCCAGAGTAGCTAAGAGATGGATGGGTGGACACGGCTGGGAGATGGTGCTGGACGGTAAGCTGGGGAAAAAAGGGGTTCACAGGGCAATGGCAGTGGGGTGCATGCAGGGATGCATGCATGGGGATGCACATGGGTGCAAGGATGCACACAGTGCAAAGACGGGGTGCATGGATGCATGCAAGGATGCACGGGTGCAAGGGACGGAGTGCAAGGATGCACGGGTGCAAGGGACGGAGTGCAAGGATGCACACACACATGCAAAGATGGGATGCAGGGATGGGGTGAGTGGATGCACACACATGTGCAAGGGTGGGGTGCACAGGTGAGGCGCATGATTGGGAGCACAGGTGCAAAGATGGGGTGCATGAATGCACGCAGGGGTGCAAAGATGGGATGCGTGCATCATGCATGGGTGCAAAGATGCCACCAGCTCCGGCTCTGCAGTCAGTGAGGAGAGACCCAAGCTCAAACCTTTACACCATTAACCAGATAAATTCCTCACCCAGTTTCTCTGCAAACCAGCACAGCCATAAAGCAAAGCAACACGTCTATGGGGTGATGCCCCACCTTGCCCATTAATTGCAATTAAGAGCCAGGGGGAAAAGGGAGCTCACCTGGGAGGACGAAGGTGGTCCTAGTGGCAATGTTGATCTCCTGCAGGTGCTCCAGTGTCTCCGTGTGGAAAAGGCGGATGGAGGAGCCCGAGGAAAAGGCCATCCAGACCCCACTGCCCGCCTTGATCATGTGCGTGACACTGGCCTCCGCGTCCGGGTGGGCCTCGAAGGTTTGCTGCCAAAAGGGGAATTGCAAAAAGGAAATCAAAGGGTTGCTCCCTAAAATTGCTGCTAGCTTGGGCTCTCTCCGGGAGCTGTTTTAGGGCTGCAAAACTACATGGGGAGGGGATCAGAGTGATCTTGAGGTCCCATCCCTCCTCGCCAGCTCTGGCTTTGGCAGAGGACACTGAAACCAGCCCATCTCCAAACCCCTCTTGGGGCTTTTTTTTTTTTTTTTTTTTTTTTGAGTGATAACAGTCTTCCCAATTCTCCAGGTTTTGTTTTTTTCTTCTTTAAAAGAGTCATTTCCCAGACTAGATATATCTGCAAAATCCATCCCAAGATGGGACGAGACCTTCCTGCTTCCCTCCAACCCCCAAAATCAGTGATCAAAGGCTCAGCTCTGCTGCAAGAGCTATTTGGGGATTATGGACTGCTCCGTCTGCTTCCCAAGCTGCCTGCCGGAGCATTTCACTATCAGTCACAGGATGCAAACTGCAGGAAAAACACCTTTCTGCATCAAAAATTGCCCCTGCTGCAGATTTCCCGAAGTAAAACCTCATATTAATATGGAAGGATTAAATCACTGGGAGAAAAACCTGCACGCAGTGACTTTGCCTTCATTTCTCCTATGGCTTTGAAACCTTATATTTTTACTTCAAAATTTGATTTATATTAAAAAAAAAAAAAACAAACCAAAAAAAAACAAAAAGAGGACTTGGTATTGATCCCCTTCCTGGAGAGGACCAGCATAGAGCATCCCCCGCAAAAGCTCACACAAAATGGGGGTGGATAGAGACTTTGAGGTGATCTCTCCCTTGTTCCCCACCCCACATGGGATTTATTCCCTGATGGTTTATTCCCAAGTTGCCGATCCCATCCAGGCAGACTCAAGACCTTCCATCAAATACTATTTATACCATCCCCCAGCACCACCCCCCACTCCTATTTTTTTTCCTCCCCCATCACTTTTCTTCTGCAAAAATTCCCACCCAGCTCCTGTCATAAATAAAATCAGAGACTGAAAACGAATCCAGTCCCCGATGCATTATTCATCTGCGGCACCGCCGTTAGGCTGGATTTACGACAGCTAATACATGCAAACTAAGTTTGGGCACTAAATGTGAAAATTAAAGGTTGAAGAAAGGGGTGGGTTTTTTAAAGAAAAAAGCAACTATTCAGCATTCCCTGTTTTATGCAGCTGCAGGAGATGTCTCAGTGTCCTCGTCCTGTGACCCAATGTCAGAGGGAAGGGACCCAAAAGGGATGAAAAGCAGCAAAAAGCAGCAATAAAAGGTTGGTTTGGGCATTGCACAGGCAGGGATGTGCCCGTGCACATGCATCCTTTGGGGCTCAAACCACTGTGACTCCCCCCTCCAAAAGCCACCGCTATGTCCCCCGTCCCCGTCCCGTGGATGCAGCACGGGGGGGTCCCGGTGACGGTCCCTACCTGGGCGCAGAGGCCGGTGGCATCGAGGACAGTGACTTGGTTGGCACAGCTGGCCCAGAGGGTCTCATCCAGTGTCAGGAGGGCTTGCACGGGACCGGTACCCACGGCCAGACGGGTGGGCTGCTCTGTCGGGTCCCACAGCCCTCCTAGAGCAGAGATGCCAGGATGGGGGCGGGCAGAGAGAAGATGCTCAGCAAAAAGAAAAAAGCATCTTTTGATGCAGCTGAAACCACCCTAAACAGCTGCTGGGGTCGGCTGTGAACCCCTCGTGTCCCCAGTGTCACCTTGGATGCCTCTGAGCATCTTAATGCCACAAACAAAAGGATGGGGGGAGCTCACACCCCCAGCTTCAACCCCGCAAAGCCCCTTTGCCCCCGTGCAAACAGGTTTTTTAGCAGCAAACAACTGGCCACCTGCAACACTGGGGCACGTTCCTTGCTGCAAAAGCCAAAAATTCCCCCTCCCCACCCCCCTTTTTTTTTTTTAATTTATTTGCTCTTGAAGCAACACTCCTGAGCCGATTCATCCAGGGCCAATCTGGAGTGTCTCTGTGAACAGCATCCAATCTGGATTTGGATGAATTCACCACCAGTGGTGGTTGAGCAGCTTCGATGGGTAATTGCTCTCCTTTTCTTATTTCCAACGCAATTTTTTTTAAAATAAAACCATAGAATCCGAGGGATAAAAGAGCCCTTTGGGCTCTCAGACCTCTACTCCCATCAGCAGGAGTTTGCAACGGAGCCGCCTCTCAGTAAATCCTAATTTTCACATAAAAATGAGCTATTTTGGGAAAGCTTTTTCCTTCCAAAAAGATGGGGATAAGATTAAAAACCCCACCCCGCAGCCATGCCAGCGGCTTGCTGCCTTCAACATGCATTTATGCAATCAAGATTAAATTAAAGCCACTTTATTAATTGGCTTGCACGGTTGCTATAAGGTGGGAAAGGGGATGCACAGCACCCCAAAATGCAATGTAAGTGCCTTTACTGGCTCCGGGTTGACTTGGGTGCTACTCGCTGCAGGTTATCTCAGAGCAAATGAGGGGTTTTGTCCAAAAATAGGCCAATGGAACACATTTTCTGAGGCTCTTTCCTACCCTCTAGCGATGAAGCAAAGGTATTTAACAGCCCAGGCGAGGAGTGCCCGAGGCGGAAGGCTCTCAGCAAGCTGCAGCCTTGGCCTGAGCTGGAGCCAGGGGAAAAAAACCAAAATCAAGCTAATAAAGGAGACGGTTTTTGCAGAGATGGGGTTTGGAGGGGGTCAGCTTGGTTTAAAGAACCAAAAAGGGGATTTTTTTTTTTGAAGCCAAAAGCTCTGAGTCCTTGTGCATCCCGGTGTCGGACCCTTCCTGCAGCCCCCGACCATAACCATCCTCTGAGCAAAACCTTTGCTGCGGTCCCAACCCCTCACCAGGACTGTTTTCCATACATTTTCCCCAAATCGAGCCCTTCTTGCATTCATTCTGGCAAAGCAAAATAGCATGTTTTCCCCATCTCTCCCTGGGCTGCAAGGGGAAGAATGAAATGGGGGGGGGAGAAAAATGGAGATTTACCACCATTTTAGCAGCCAGCACATCTCGCTGGTGTGAAGAACCTCTTGCTCCCTGTTTTTTAGGGTGTCCTACCAAAAACCCCATCCGAAAGAATGCACGGGGGTACCCTCACCGTTCCTCCTCGGGTAGGCGGCCACGGTCCCATCCTGCAACCCTGCAAACAGGTACTCGGGGCTGTGCCTCAAGCAGAGGACAGGTTGCATGCCTGGGCTTTTGCAGGTCAACAAGCACTGCGTCCCCGTGTCCACGCTGCCGTAGACTGCGATGCTGGGGAGGGAACAGGGAAGAGATGGGGAGATGCAAGAGATCATACTGGTCCTCATGGTTTGGTGCCGGTGATTGCACCCAAAGGATGGCTGCGGAAGATGCGGGCTCACCTGCCATCCCGTAACCCCAAGCACACGGTGGGATGCGGGGATGCTGGGGGCTGTTCGGTGGTCGCTCGGGGTTCCTGGGTGCCCGCCGGTTCCCCCTCACCCGCCTCGGGGATATACTCCATGCACAGCACCGGCGAAGCCACCGGGAAGGACTTGACCGTCCGCGGCACAGCGCGGTTGAGGGAGAAGATCTCCACCTGCCCCCCTGCGCCTTCCTGGCCCCCCCCAACCTGCGGGGACCAGAAAATGGGTGTTAGCACCAGCCGCGAGCACTGGAGAGGCGGTTTGCAGCCAGAGCGACGCAAACCTGGCAGGTTTTGCCCCGTTTTTGGGGCCGTTTTGCTCACCCAGAGGTAGCCCTGCGGCAGCGAGGTGCTGACGGCGGAGAAGCCCAGCAGCGAGGACTGCACGGGGTTGTGCACCGCGGCGCCGAGCTGGGGGAGAAACAGGGGTATGGGAGGGGTCCATAACACCCCCAAATTACCCCAATGCACGCAGGGTATCGGTGTATGCCCCAAAAATCAGGATCCAGCCCCAGCCCAGCTTGTATTTTCAATTTTCCAGGGTGGATCGCACTGATTTCTGCCTTTGCAACCACCTTGCCAGCCCATCCACCGTGGGATTTCTGCCTTTATTCCCCAAAATGATGGATGTAAAGGAGAAGGAGGTATTGGGGGCGTTGGAGAAGAGGTTGGCCATTGCCCTTACCTGCAGATCAAGGGCTTTGGAGGAGAAGGCAGGCATGTGGCAGGAGAGGATGGGGCACCAGAAAGGAGCTTTGCTCTTCTTGTCTTCGTCGGGACAGAGCCAGCCCGGCTGGTTCTCCTCCCCTGCGGTAAGTAGAGGAGATCAAGGATGGCCAAGACACCCCCCAGCATCCTCCCCCTCCCCAATGGGACCCCAAAATTAGTAATTTGAGGTGCAGGGCTCTCATCTCCAACCCCAAACCACCATCATCTGTGGACCTGGGGTACATCTCACCCCTTTCCTCCAAACTATTGCACCCCACCACAGTCTGCAGCCAAGCAACTGCCTCAAGCAGTGGCAAAAGAAGCCTCAAAAAGAGAGATTATATATATATATATAAAAAGGGGGAAAAAATACACCCTATTGTGTTTCTTCACATTAGGCTTTAATGTGTTTTCATTTGTAACTCATGAACTCATGGATACAGGATTATCCCCTAGGCATCCCAGATGAAAAAAAAAAAAAAAACAACCAAAAAAACCCAACAAACCCACACACAAAAAACCCAAACACATAAACTGTTAAAAACAAGAGAATCAAAAATCATTCCAGCCCAGGGGGATCTGAACACTCAAACAGGATTTCAAATGATTTTTTTTTTCTTCCATTAAACAACAACTATTTTTTTTGCTGTAGTGGCTGGTGGAGTTGAATAGGGATAGAGATAGGGAAGCGGCAGGAGGAACAGCTCCTCCCTTACTTATTCATCCCATTTTGCAGAAAAAGGGTCAGCCCCAACACCATCAGCATGAGAGCCAACAGAATCCCATCACCACACGACGCCATCCTGGAGATGCCACCCAAGAGCAGCAAGATGCAAAGCATTTGGAGCCAGAATTACCAATTCCCATCATTTGCAGTGTGCAAACCCCCAAAATGTTCTCCATCACCTTGCTCCAAATTTTTTCCCCCTGCCCCATTTCACGTCGGGATGCTCGGGGTGAAGCAAACCCCGCTTCTGCTCCCAAATTTGGCTTTTTGAAGCAAGGGTGATGGCAAGCAACATGCCGTGGGGCTACTCACGCAGTCCTATCTTGGCCAAGTGCAGGCGGTTCACCCAGGAGATCTTGCTCAGGGGGTTTGGAGTGATGAAGACCACCATGACGCTGATGGGGCGGCCAGACCTGTGTAGAGAAAGCATCACCAGGTCCATCTTCAGTCTCCTCCTCCCCAGGGTGGGAAGAGTCCACCCATGATCCACAGACTCACTTGTCTGGCTTCCCAGGCAGCAGGAGACGGAGGCGGCACTTGTTGGCAGAGTGGATCTCCTCTTCCTTCACCTTCATCATCCTCTGCAGGGCCAAGCACCAGTCCTGGGCCACTGTCATGTTCAGGTTCTGGAGGAAAAGTCATAAATCATGGAAGCGCCTCCAAAACAAGCCTGAATCATCCCCGAATTTCATCTGTGGGGGTCTGGAGGACAAGGTGTCCAGCATTCCCTGAGGAACTGCATGGTTCTTGCAAAGCGCCGAAGCTTGGTTCTACCCAAATCATGAGTTTGACCATGTTTTGGCACATAGATACCTGGTAGGTGCCATGCAACGTGCTGATGAGAAGGGTGATCTGCTCCACCACCGCCAGGTCCTTCTGCAGGTCCTGCAGCTCCTGGAAGAGCCGTGGTGGCCCCAGGTAGACTTTATCTTGGGTGGAGAAATGGAGAAATGAGATCCATGGAGGATGCTCCACCCCACCCCACCGAAACCAGCCCAACACCGGATCAAGGGATGGGTGCTCACTGTGCGAAGCCTGCCCAGCCGGCGCGTGCTTCTTGGCACCAGCGTTGTGGATGACGACGTTGTCTTTGTCATAGGCACCGCTCTCCTGCCCCACCTCCACCACCTGCACCTGCGGGAGGGCCGTGCTCCACTTCACCACATATTTGGGACCGAGGGGCACCAGGCTGCTAATTTCCAGCTGGCCTCTGCCAAGGAAGGATGCAAACAACAAATAAACAAACAAACCAGCAGGCACCGTGGCTCACCCTGCAAGCCCTTGCAAAATGCATTTTGCAAGCCAAGCCCCATTTGCAACCCCACACCATGCACTGGTGCATGCCTGCACCCCCAAATGTGGGGCACACAACCACAGCAGACCACGCTCGGCACCTACCCTGGGTTCACTGGCCTGGAAGAGGGGAAAAATGATTAATAAAGAGGTATGATGGGGAATTCAAGGAAGGTTTTCCTCTTTGCAGCATCAACCTCTACCAAGCCCTGAGGTCCCAGTGGGCTCCCGGACCCTACACCAGCTCCAGGACCCCACAGCACCAGGGGATGGAGGCTTTGCATGGAGGTATGCCAAAAGTGGGGGGCAAAGCAACCCCAGACCAGGTGGGTTCCCCCTCTGAAAGAACGTGAGGTGGTTTTAAAAGTCATTGGGGTAGATCTAGCAAAACCCACTAAGCCCAAAAATTGAGGTGGGGAAGGGGGAAGGTTGCTATGTTGGTGCTTTACAAAGTGATTTTGGGGACTGGGGCCATCAGCACATACTTGAAGTTGATGTTGGCGCACACCAGCATGTCGTTGAGCAGGAAAACCTTCCGCTCCTTCGACTTGATGAGCTGCCCCCGGTCGCCGTACACTGTCTCCGTCAATGTCTCACAGAGCAGGAGCTGCCGCTGCCCTGAGCTCAGCAGCTGCAAAGGGGATGGAGCAGGTGGGGGGGGCTCAGCCTGGGGGCTCTTGCAAGCCTCCTGCCCCCAAATTTAGGTTGCTTTTCCCTTATTGCAAGGATTTTCCTCCAACCGGGAGCATGCACGGCCCCGAGTTCTGCAGAGACGGCTGTGCAACATGCTCCAAGGCTGCACGATGCAAAAACCCTTTGCACCCTACATGTCCAACCACCAAGAAAGCAGAGCCTTGAAAAACGAACATGGGCCTTTTTGCAGCCCCTTTTGGGTCTCTCTTCATCCCCTGGCCCTAAATCCTGATCCCAGGGCTGAGCTGGCATGTGCTTCGCTGCAGTTTTTGCCACCACGGCCATCCCCAGCCCAGGATGTGTCGCAAGAGCTTCATTTAGGGTTTGAGGGGTTTTTTTTTCCCCACCAACGGTTGCAAAATCAGGCAGATGAGACAAAGCAGCTTGTCCTTGCTTTTCACTGGAGGGGAATTTCCCTGTGCCAGCCTCAAAATTTTGCTTTTGCTCTACGTCCTTTCAGAGAAAACAGGGATCGTGGCTTCCCGAAACCCCCGATGCTGAGAGGAAGGTGGAAGCTGCAAAGCTCAACCACCAGCTCCAAAACCCACCCATCATGAGGATGAGGAGGTGAGGTTGAAGGACCCACCTTGTTGAGGCTGCTGCGGTCGCTGATGCTCTTGCTGAGCTGCTGGATTTCGGCGACTTGGTCGGCCAAGCGCTTCTGCTCGTTGAGTTTCTCTGCCAACGTCTCCAGCTCGGTGAGGGCCAGCTGGAGGGACAGGCGGTCCGCATGGCCCTTTGGGGTGTTTTTCAGCATGTCCTGGAGCAGGGAAAGGATGGGGGATAAAAGCCACCCCGGAAAAATCAGCCCCATTGGGGGATGCTACGACTGGAAGCGCTTTTGGCCCATCCAAAATCAAAGCTTGGAAGATGATCCTTGGGATGGTCCCCAAAACTGCAACCAAGCTGCCAACCCAAAAATGTGTCCCTTGCAAAACCCTTTCCCAAAGCACCCAGGCTGCAAAAAATAGGGTGCAAAGCAAGGTGGGTGCAGGCATCCCTTGCCCTTACCTGCAGGAGCAGGATGAACTGGGGGAACCTCTGGATGGGTTTCACCATCAGCCCGTAGAGCGTGACCCGGTCAGCACTGGCCATCTGCCTCTTCTGCGGGGAGGAAAAAAAAAAAAGGGGGGGGGGCAAAAAAAAAAAGAGGCGTTTTCACCCATAATGGTGACCAGCAGCACCCTGCACCCACGTTTGGGTCCTACTGACCTTGAGGAAGTCAAGGAAGGCGGGTTTGGTGAGACAAGCCTTCTTGATAAGGGACATGGCAGTGGTGAAGTTGTTGACGTAGTCGCTGTAGACGTCCAGTACCATGGACTTAGAGAACTGGGGAGAGGGCAGAAGGAGAGCTGCAATGCTGTGGGGCTCCCCCAAAAAGGGGGGTCGGCAAAGCATGGGGGTGCTGGTGTATTTTTGGGGTGATGCTGAGGACGCTGGTTGTACCCCAGGTTGGGGCTGCATCACTTAAATCCTCCAACCCCTCCCCGCTACCATTGAGAGGGGTCCAGAGGGAGGTTTGGCAGCAGTCCCCTGACTTTTCCTCCTACCGAGGCCACAAAAAGGTCCCCGATCTTCTCCGCCGAGTCCCACTCGGCCACGCGGGAGGCGAGGGCGATCTGGAACATGGAGTGGCACTGCAGGATCTCCTTCAGACGAAAAAACACCACCTGGCACTTCCTAGCGCTCAGCACCTTTGGCTCCATCTCCATCAGCGGGTTCCTGTAATCCTGCGGGAGATGCCAGTGCATCAGAATCCCAGCATCCTTGCGTTCCCCACTGCCCCGAGCCCCCCCTCCCAAAAACGGGGGGTCTCCCACCTGCAGGATGCGTTTCAGGGAGTCCACGTAGCTCCGCTCACTCTGCACGATGGAGCCTAGGATGTGCCGCCGTACCACCTGCAAACGATGCTGGGGCTCAGCCGTGGTCCCCCCAAAACCCCAAATAACGGGATGTGGGGGGGGGGCAGGCAACAGCGTGCTGCAGAAGTGCTGACGCGACAGCATCGCTTTCTGCTGACTCGCCTTTTCCTCGGTTGCTCAATCACGGGACCAAGGGGAAGCCGTGCCCCCCACCAACCACCCCCACGCCCCCCCCGAATCCCCAACCCACCCCACACCAACCTGCTGTGGGCTCAGCCCCTCGGGCATGGGGCCCAGCTCTGGTGGCGGATGCTTCATGTCGGAGACGGTGACCTCCAGGAAACCCGTGTCCTCCTCCTCCGAGTCTCCTGCAAGGAAAAAAAACCCACAACCAAATGCCAAAAAAACCCCAATTTTAGACTTTTGGGGGTCTAAAGAAGAGCCCGGACTCCCATCAGCTACTTGGCTGCGGATGTGTTTGGGTTTGGAGCTGTGAGCAGAGATGGACCCCAGCGTCCTCCCAGCATCGCGTGTCCCTCCCCGAGCCCCGGCCACTGTCACCGGACACCAGCATGAGTCAGGCTGCGAGCAGGGACCGAGCCAGCTCCCTGCAGGGAGGGGACAAAAAGTGTCCCTGTCCCCAAAAAGCCACCCTGGTTGGGGGAAAAGCCCCCCGTCCCTGCTCCAAGGGTGGGTGCGAGCAGGGAAAACGGGGACAAAAGAAGCCAAAAGCAGCGTGCCAAAGAAAATGGGGACGGTGAGAGGCGAACGCCCGCTGGCCGGAGACGGGGATCTCTTACCCGAGGCTGAAGCAGCTGAGGAGGAGGAAGGCGAGCGAGCCAAGGCGGCATCGCGATGCGGGGACGGCCGCTTCTTCCACATGGCCGCAACGCCCCGCTACGGCCACCCCGGCCCCATCCCTATCGCCTATAAATAGCCGGTAACGGGGAGGACCGGCTGGGCTGGAGGGGAGGGCGCTGGCGGCTGGGTGACCTTTTTCCTTCCCTAATTTTGGCCGGGAAGCTCACCACCCTTGGCTGCCAGCTTCGTGAGCTCCTTCTCCCCATCTCCATGCCCTAAGGACGGGATGCTCTGCAGCACCCTTAGGACGGGATGCCCTCCAGCACCCCAGGGTTCCCCAAAAGCACTTAAGCCCCCACCCCGGCAAGGCTAAGCCGCACTGAGGACATGCAGCGAGGCTGGGACACACACGCCGGATCCTCCGGGCAGCCCTGGCCGAGCGGCGAGGCTGTCCACCAGGATCCTACCTCCCCCGTGATGCTCCAGGGAGACCCTTGAGCTCCAGCGGGCAGGCGGCTGCTTTTCCGCCTCCGCTGTCCTCCTCCTCCGCTCCCCATCCCCTACGTGACAGTGGAAGGGTTAGGAAAATGCCCCCCAAATTGGTATTTCAGGGCAAATCCTGCTCTGTGTCCAAGGGGGGCAGCCATGGGTGCTGGTGTGGTGGGGTCATTGTCCTGCTCCCAAAAGGACATGGGTGCTTGGAGCAAGGACTGAGCCAAACCAACTGAGCTTGCATGGGGATGCAAAGAGTGAAAAAAATTCAAACAAGAGCTTAAGATGCAGAAAATAAATCAGCAGAAAGAAAAGCTGAAAGCCATAAGGATTCATAATGATTTTTTTTTTTTAAATACTCTCAAAAAGGCTTTTTTTTGGCTCCCAAAAGCAAGGACTGGGGGTTGCCTGCTTACCTGGTGCTTCTTTCCGGTGCAGGAAGGTCACCTTTCTCATCACCGCGATCTTGGTCTTCTCCAAACCGTCCTTGGTGCCACTTTTGGCCGCTTTCATCAGTTGGGTCATCTGGGCAGGGGGACGAGAGGGACCGGGAAGTTCAAGGCAGCACCGGAACCCCATTTTGGGTCCAGATATAGAAGTGCCATCCCCTTGGGGACATCCCCTGTGAGCATCATCCCTCATTTTGGGTCTGGATGCAGTGGTGCCACCTCCTTAGGGACATCCCCTCTGAGCATCATCCCCCATTTTGGGTCCAGATAGAGCAGTGCCACCTCCTTGGGGAGGTCCCCTCCAAGCATTGTCCCCCATTTCGCATCTGGATGCAGCGGTGCCACCCCTCTGAGCACGATTCCTCAGTTTGGGTCCAGATACAGCACTGCCACCTCCTTGGGGACATCCCCTCCAAGCATCATCCCCCGTTTTGGGTCCAGATATGGCAGTGTCACCTCCTTGGGGACATCCCCTCTGAGCATCATCCCCCATTTTGCATCCGGATGCAGCGGTACCATCCCCTTGGGGACATCCCGTCCGAGCATCATCCCCCATTTTCCCGCAAAGCCCGACGGGGAGGAAGAGGAGGCCCGTGGCTGAGGAAGAAGGATGCTCCAGCATCTCTCCTCCCTCGGCAGGGACACGGCTGCCGGCAAGCAGGCGCGGGCAAAGCGGGAGCATGCAGCAAAAGCAAAGAGGAGGGAGGGAAGGGAGGCACGAGCACATCCATCCCCTCCTCGCGGCCGGGGTTTTGTGTGCGAGAGAGCAAAGGAGTGGGGGGACACCTCAAATCACAGCAGTTTTAGCCCAAGCTGACATCGGCGTTGCCTTCCCAGCCCAAACTGGCCATAAACTGCCAACCTGGATGGTTTGGGACTGGGAAAGGCTTTGCACTAAGTTTCTACACCTCCCAAGAATCTCCTTCCCCACCTGATTTCCACCCCGTATCAGGGGAAAAACCTTCTCAATCCATCTATCCCACGGGCAACCTCGCTTCGTCCAAACGCCCCTTAAAAAAAAACAAACACCCAAAAAGCAAATGGTTTGGGCAGCTGGAGGGTGGGGAGCTGCAAGACAGATGGACATGAGAGGCAGCTTTGCAGTACTTAACTCAATTTTTTTTCCTCTTTTGGGGGATAAAATGGGATGAATTCAGCCTGGATAAATTCCGGGAGGGTTCCACCCCCCCGCCCCAACCTGGGGAAATTTGGGGGACAAGGGACGGAGGAGTGACAGTACCTTCCAATCGTACTTCTGCTTCAGCTCCTGCATGTCTCTCCCCCCAACTCTTAAAGCCAGGATGTCCCTCTTAGTCCTGGCGTATCTCTCCTTTAGTCTATTCAGGTCTGGAGAAAGCTGAGCCCAAAGCAAACCAGGCGGGAGGAGAAGGCAGAGGAGGCGAGAGAAGGCAGAGAAGAGATCCAGGTAAGCAGCCAAAAAAAAAAAAAAACCCAACCACAAAAGAGGAGGAGAAATCATCCCAAAGCAGCACGGTACAGGCAGCATCTTCCCAAAAATCTGGCATTGCTCGAGCAGGGAGGGGAGCAAGCACAGGGAAAGGCAGCAGCCACGCTCCAGCAATGCCGAAATGCAAAAGGAAAGGGGAAAAATTAAAAAAAAAAGGGGGAAGGAAGAAAAAAGAAAGAAATGAAACCCCTGAAGTTTCGGGCTGGCTTTGCACTGGGTGACCCCGGGAACCACAGCATCCTCTGCTTCACCATCTGCAGAAGCAGCTGGGCTCAATGCTCTGGTGCCATTATACAAGCAAACCCAGAGGGGAAAAAAAAAAAAGGAAAATAATAATTAAAAAAATAAATTCAAGAGTTACCTTGGGCTGGAAGGATGCCCGCTGCTTGGCCGGCTCGGCCTCTGGCTTCGTTTCCTCGCCTGAATCCTCACTGTAGCTCTCGAACTCGCTGGAGCTCCAGCCCAAATCTTCGCCCGCCCGTGGCCCCTCGCCGCGCTGCACCTCCTCGTAGATCAGGCTCCGCTCTGTCCCCGGGCCTGGAAAGCAAAAACCAGCTCCTTTTCCTTCCAGGAATGTAATTTCCCCTCCCCAGGGACCCCCAGGAGATGCCCCAAATCCACAGGGTCTAACAACCCCTCTGGGAACACCTCTGCCTTCATCCCTCCCGATTCCCAGTGGTTTTCCTAGGGTTATCCCCCTCTGCACCCTCTTCTGGGATGCGCTTCTCCCTCTTGGAGGGTGCCTCGGTTTGCCTGGCTGGAAAATGGGCTTGTGGTCCCTGGGGAAGCAGAGGGGGAAGGTCTGTCCCTACCGTCCTGCTCGGCATCAAGCGTTTCACAGGGGACATCATCGTAGATCACATCATCCTCCACCACCGGGAACTCAAAACGCTCACCTTTGGGGGGACAAAACCCCCCAACAGGGACTCAAGTCAGCACCCGAGGATCAAGTCAGGATGGAAAAATCCTTCCCAAGCCTCAGCAGTGTTTGTTTTATTTTTGCCCGGCTTTTTAACCCACCTTGGCAACTGCTTTTCCTCTTCCAGGTCTGGGCACCGATGTGGGGGTCTCCACCAGCCTCCCCATTGCTCACCCCCACTGGCAGCCTGCAGGGAAGGGGGTCAGGGAGCACCCCAGAGTGCAACCCACTCCCTGAGATTGGGTGCAAATCCCCTGGGATTGGGTCCACCCAAGTCCCTCATCCCCCTCATCACCCTTGTTCCTATTACAAGGGTTCACAAGCACAGAATAAAGCTTGTATTCGTGTGTGTGTGTCCCTCATGCATGTCTGCTTCTTCAGGGATTTGGGGGGTCCCAGGTTTTAGGGTCATGATGGTTTTTGTTTTTTAAGTGGGTCCAGGCAACCCGCATGGGGTTGATGCAAAAAAAACCAAAATGGCTTTTTTAGCCTCGGTCCTCATGGTGCTGCAGGGCGGGAGGATGCATCAGCATCAGGGAGCATGGAGAGAGGGTCCCCATCCCTGGTTGGGGTCCTGCCTCTCTCGCTGCACCCTGTGCATGCTCCGGTGGGGGAGACAAGCTCTCCTTGCAGCCAAATTTGCATCTTTTCCCCCTAAATCTGCAGCTGGGGTGAACACCAGCCCCCTTTGAACACCCATCCCAGGGGGTTTTCTCCCTCAACTCCTCAGTTGAGGGCTGGAGGAAGCCCCCACCGCCCAGTTAACCATAGACCCCCAATGGTACCCAAAGCCCCCACAGATCCCCAGGGCTGCAGGGTGCACCCCAAAACCCTGGGGCTCTCCTGCTTGCAGCCCCTTTCGCAAGCAATGGGGAGAAGTTGGGGAAACTGAGGCACGGCACCAGGCTGTGACATGTCAAACAGGGAGGACAAACCCCAAAGTTGTGCTTTCTCCTAAAAAGGCACTCACCCCTCACCCCCCAAAATCCCCCCAAAACCCCACGTACCCTTCCTGGGTCTCCGGCACCAGCCCGTCTGCAGAGAGGAAAAGCAAAGAGAAATGGCGTTGGCACCCAGGCTTGCAGCGGTGCCACCCTCGGCACCCAAAGGGGACACGGTGGGGACATCGGAGACACTGAGAACCCCCCGTGCTCCTCACCAACGCCAGAGCTGGCAGCACGCCGTCTGCGAGGGGGTGCCCGGAGGACAGCTTCGCCGCTCGGCTCGGCCGCTGAGTCCTCTTCCTCCTCCTCCTCTTCCTCGCTGTCGTCAAAGTCAAAGGCTTCGCCGAGGTCCTCCTCCCCGTGGGGCAGGGGGCTGGGGGTCTCCAGGGCGAGATGGTCACCTGCGAGCAGAAACCCCGTCACTTGGTGTCCTCTCATGGTGCTGCTGTACCTCAGCAGGGATGGAGGGATGCAGGGACCAGGGGACAGAGGGGACAGTAGAGAGCATCACCCCTCAAAAACTGCAAGAACCAACAGCCCTTCGCTTTTTCACAACCCCAGAAGGCTCCGATGGGGATATGTAGGATGCCCCTGGGTGACGGGCCCCCCACTTTCTGCCCAAAGCTGGGTGTCCCCGTCATCCTCCCCCCAAAAAAAAACCCAGCTCCAGTGGGCTGACAGTACCTACTGCAGGGTGGGGGGGCAGCTCAGACGAAGCCATGGTGCGGGGGGTCCAGATGCTCTGCCTGGGCCCTTCCCCAAGGCTTTCCTGTGGGAGAGGAGGAGAAATGGGTTGAGAGGGGAGATCAGGCCCCCCAAATCCATCCCCAGGAGAGGAGGCGACGTGGGGAGAGACCAGGTGGGATGCATCCAGCTCCGGCTGCTGCAAAACCTTGTGAGGAAGCAGAAAAGCTGCTCCCAGGTCCCAGTTTGCACATCAAATCCAGCTCGTGCATGGTAAATCCACCCCATGCACAGCAAATTTATCCCATGCACGGCAAATCCAGCTCCGAGTATCAAGCTTGAAGGTCTCGGAGGGCGGGAAGCGCCAAGCATCCTCCTTGCGATCGATGGCTCATCCGCTCCGGTAACCAGAGACGCCCGGCACGACGCCTTGAAAGGTCGCCAAGAGGAAGAGGAAGGAGGGAGCGGGGACCCCCCATGCCCAAGGGACGATGCAAGGGAGAGAAACGACATCCGAGAGGCTGCAAAGAGCAAAACGGGGCCAAACTCTACTAATTTGGTCCTGCTGGAAGCAGCAGCCGATGCATGACGGATGCCACCACCCTGCTCCAAAGAGCCATGACCCTTCCCCCCCCCCCGCAACCATTTCTCCCTCGCCTGGACCCTCATTTCCCCTCGGACGGGGATACAGGGGACACACAGACCCAGGATGATCCCAAAAAAGGGGATCTACTTATTCCCCCTGTACCAAAACCCTTTCGAGCTGCAGCGCAGTGTGGGTGCAATTGCCCCACGTGGGTTTGTAGCAAGCCATACAGCTCCAGGGCCACATATATATATATATATATATATGTAGGTAGGTAGGTCTAGAGCACAGCAGGAGGGAGCTGAGGTCTGGGATCACCTCCCAAATTTGCATTTACCCCTGGAAAATGAGCTATAAACCCCTCGCAATTGCAGCACGTGCACAGGCTGATGGTACAACCCCAGCAGGCTGCAAAGTATCAGCAACCCCAACCCCATCCTGCTGCAAAACCCCCCCAAAGCATTGAGCTAAAACCCATCTGACCCTTTCCCAGCCATAAAAAAAAAAAAAAATAAACCTCTTCTTCCCCTCCTTGACCTGCGTTACCGCCGCAAATATCCTCTTCCAGCCACTTTTGCAATAAGCCCGTTGCCTCCATAAACACATTTATAGAGATTTATTTGGGAGGAGGACTTGGGGACGCTTATTTTACCTCCTTGAACTCTTTTGCTGGCCCTCGAAACAGAAAGCGGTTGGCAGCCAAGGCTGCTCTCATATGTCACCTAATCTGCTTCACATTAGCGTGGGAGCAGGCGATTCCCTTCTCTCCCCCTTTTCGCAAGCTCCAGGTTTTATCCCTACGGATGCGATGCCAACCAAGCCATAAATCCACGATAAACCGGCCCCACCGGGAGACGTGACGGAGCTGAGGACCACAAGGGGGGCGGGGGGGGGGAAAGCCATATTCTTGCAGTGATGTCTTCAAAAAAAAAAAAAGCTATGCAAGGTAGAAAATAATAACACCTGGGTAAAATAAACCCAGCAAAGCGATGCCGATGGTTTTATCCAGAAACCAGTTTGCTCGCTGGTTTGCTTCGCTCTTCCAGTAATCTGATGGCTTCTGCATCCGGAGAGGGGAGCGGGAAGACGATGCACAGCCAGGCCCTGTGGCTCGGTCCCGATTTTATCCCGCTAGCGGGGCAGTAGAAGGTCACTTCCCATTTTGACAGTTGACATAAGCTCCCATCAGCCCGATTTGTCCCAGGGCTGGTTATTTTTCCGGCTGTAAGCACGTCTGCCGCCGAGGAGAATTACCAGCTCTCCAAAACAACCTGCTACGACCTTTAATTGGGTCTTGTTAAATTAAAAAGGAAAAAAAAAAAAGAAGGATTATTTTGCATAATTTTTCATAGCAAAACTGCTATCGGGGTAGGAGCATCCCACAGGATGGGGGGGAGGGAAAGCTGGTGGGGATGAGCTGCCCTACCAGGGAGATGCCCCCAAACCAGACCGGGACAGCAAAAACGGGATGTCGAATAATCCAAGAAGGATTTGGGGATGCAAAACAATCCAAGAAGGACGTAGCGATACGCTATCATCCTTGGAAATATGGATTTAAAGCCCACAGGAGCTGCTGCGTCCTCACCCTGCCGCCAGCATCACGAGCCCCGGTCCAGCCCCGTCTCCCTCCCAACCCGGGCGGGGAGGAAAAATAAATAGAGCTCGAGCTAAATAAAGGCAGAAAAGCAGGGCCATCTGCTAAACCCAGCCCGACCCTTTGCCTAGCAAGCTGGCAACTATTTGGCTTTATTTTGTTTATTTTTAGCCGCCGCGACAGAGCGACAGGTCCCAGCTGGCGGGGATGGCTGCCAGTCCCCAGGGGACCCGTCCCTGGTTAAAGCATCCTCCACCCCATCCTACCGACCCCCTTTTTTCTGAAATACAGGGGTTTGTAAAAAGAAAATGTAAAAAAAAAAAAAAATCCATAATATCACAGCAGGGATGCAGCTGGGATTTACGCCGGCATTCCCTCCTGCTCCTCTCTGCATCCCCACCATGTTAATCCCTCCTTATAAATAACCCCAGTGCTATTTATAAGGGATGGAGGAGTACAAATAAGAATTAGCTTCTGTCTCTCAAGAGTTTCCTCCGACTCCTTATTAATTCCTCCAGCCAACAGTCCTGCATCCCAGCTGTGGCTTCAAGGCTTATTTCACCACCTGGATGATTTTTCCACCCTCACCTTGGCCAAAAAATAGAATTAATTCAGATTATTTCCAGCATGTAGGACACCAGGGAGAGCAGCGTGGTCCCCAGAGGAAAGCAGGGATGTTTTCTTCCCCAGATCCCAGTCCCTTAAAATAATAATTTAAAAAAACCAGCAAATATTTGTTGCAAGGTAAGGGTTTTTTTCCAGCCCTAACTGGGTCTGTATAGCCCATTATCAATGTTTTAAGGGCCGAGTAGTTAATTTCCCAGTTTTCCAAGGAATTAATTGCTGAAGTTTGAAGGCGTCGATGTGGGAACGAGGGCTCCAGTGAAGAAAAATTATCCTGTGTCTTCAAAATTTCCCCAAATTGGGTGTTTTGAAGCAGTTGCAATTGGTGGAGGTGGCAATAAGGGGCGGCTCAGTGAGCGGTGGGAATGAAATGATAGCAAAAGAGGGGTTTTCCCCTAAAAGAAGCCAAAAGATGGACTTTTTTCCCAAAAAAATTTTAAAAAAAAGCATTTTCCCAGAAAAAAGCCAGAAGAGGGGTTCCCTCCCAAAAAAATTCCATGAAAATTCAAGATTCAAGGCAATTTTGTGATCATATTTTAAATCAACTCTTGCCAAAAGGCATCATCTTATAGGAAAGCTTTTCCTGAACACAGTGTTTCCCTCTTTCACCTCAGAAAGGCTCTTCTGGGCAAATATCCCACAAATATTCCAGCTAAAAACCCCAAGACCTGGAAAACTGCCGCCGTTTTCCTTTTTATTTTCCTTTTCAACATCGCCGACGAACCAGAAAAAATCCTTCCCTTGTCCAGCTCACGCCATGAGAAGTGCAAATGCAGGGGAAAAAAGGGGGGGGGAGGGGGGAATCAGTAAAAAAATCAGTTCAAAAAAATCAGAATTACAGCACTTAAAGAATTACAGCCTGTTTGCAAAGACTTCTAGCAGAGAGACCCAAAAAACAATGAAAAAGCCTTACTTATTGCCAAAACCCTTCCCAATTTGATGCTTATCCCAATCTCCACCTTTCAATGCTTTGCAAAGCAACTGCAAAGTTCACCCACTGCAAAACTATCCCGGAAAGGAATTTGAAGGGAGAAGAATTTGAATCAGAAATAACAACATTAAAAGCAAAAAAAATTGGGTTTTTTCCCTATTAGTATTCCCAGCTCGAAACTCCCAAGAATTTGGGGGCTTGCTTTATTGCAAAGCTCCAAATCAAAACCTTACCCACCCTTTGCAAGTGATTTTTTTCCCCCATCAGTTCTCTGGGGTCACCTTATTTTGGCTGAAAAGTGACTTAAAAATCAGCATCAGGTGGTGACACTGATGGATTCAAGATCACCCTCCACAATATTCTTATTTTCTCTCCTTGCTTTGCAAACACCTATTCAAGCACCCCATAAATACTGGTTTTTTTCCACCCTGCAGATGCATTATTTCACTTTTTTTTTTTTCTGGTATTTTGGGCAAAAGCTGCTCTTTGCAAGCCAGCATCTCACTAAAACACACTTAATTGAAAAAAAAACCCAAAAACCTGATGCAAACAGAGGGGAAAAAAATATTGCGGTGACTTCAGCCCCTTTGCAACCCTTGCAGCGTGCAATGCAACCTTGCACCCCAATGCAACCAATGTGTCTTGTGTCGTCCCCCCCCCCCCCAAAAAAAAATCACTGAAAGGGGGAAAATTGCCATTATTTGCTGTCAAAATGATCCTGGAGGAAGTTCTCACTTCCCCCTCCCTCGAAATTGCAGGTTCCCGCAGGTGCTGCAAATCCCAGCCGGGAAAACCCGGGAGGGATTTGCAACCGTCACAGAATTTGCAAGAAAACGGGGTGAAAAAGCCCAGGAATGGGTGCCAGAATAAGCTTGATGCACCAATGCCCACCTCCTCCCTCCCCATTGTTCCTTCTTTTTGCTTAGATATTTAAAAGAAATTAAAAATATACAAAATATATATATGTAACAAAAACCCCTATCGCTGGCAGCAGCAGGGAGGCAAAGGGCAACCTCCTCCCCCTGCAAGAGGATGTGATAACCTATAGATATGCATTATATGTATGTATATATATAAGGATTTATGGCAAGGAGGGGAGGGAAAAAGGGTTTTTGCTGACCTGGGAAGGCCGCGTCTCCTCCAGCTTTGTATCCGCATCGGCCGAGCAGGCCCCCGCCAGGGAGGCAACGTCAGGGAAAAAAAAAACCAAAACCCCAAACCTGACGGGGATGAAATCCCACCGTCACCCTCAATGGGGTGCCCAGGGTGGGTGACACCCAAGAGGCGCCCACCCCCCCACCCCAACACCCCCAGATCCCAGCGGCCAAGGGCTCGCTGCCGGATGGGAGCCGCGGTCCAGCGGCTGCACCGAGGGATGCCGGGATTTTGGGCAGCATCTCCCCCCCCTCCTCTTCTTCTTCCCAAGCAGCTCTGATTTACACCCCTGGTGATCCCAATCCTAATAAATAACCCCCCAGTAGGATTTGGCTCCCTGCTCGCCTTTTAACCCCCTGTATGCCGGGGCGACCTGTTAACCCTCTCGCTGCCGAGAGTGTTGCCCGTGAAAAAAAAAAAACAAAACCCACAGCACTGGATTTGCAGCAGGAGCTTCCAAAATTTCCAAGCAAAGAGGATTTTCTCCAGGATATTTTACATCCGAGCCACTGGTTGCGAGACCAGCAGTCCCAAAACGCAGCTCCACATCCCCATTCAAGGGTATTTCCCCCATGCCAGCTTTTCAGGCCCTAAACCCCCCCCAAAATACACTATACAACAACAAAAAAAAGACAAGTTAAAGCGGTGCAAGGACCCCACACGTGCATTTATTTAAATGCAATATCCTCGCTACAAAATGTACCAGTCTTACCTATTCCATCGGTGTTTGGGCCTGTGTTTTTCTTGCTGGGAAGTTTTCTGCCTCTGCCGGAGTGTTCCGTACCTGCCGGCACACCCCGGCTGCGGCCGCCCAGCCCTGCTGGAAAACACCCCTTGCAAACAAACTAAACAGCTGCCAGGTTTATTCCAGCTCAAAACCAGCCAAACAAGCCTGGCCAAAAAAAAAAAAAAAAATATATATATCTATCCCAGTGCCCTTCGGATGACTCACAGGCAGCTGAAAAAAACCCCACCTTTTCCTTTGGGTAATGGCCTTGCTGCCCTGCCAGGTATTGCTGCCCATGGAGGTGCTGAGCCCTACCAAGAAAACCACTCTGCAAGAGGGAACAGGACCCGAGCATCACGGTGGAGAGGACTTTATCCCCGTTGTCCCAATATTTGGAAGGGGAAGACCCTCCACAGCCCATTTGGGGCGGGGGGGGGGGGGGGGGGGGGGGGGGGGGGGGGTGTGCTGGGTAGCAGCAAAAGCATCTCAGCGACAGTCGGGGAAATTATTTTTCTGGTTTTTCAGATTGCATTTCAGTTGTGACTCAACCCTCCATTCCCCACCCCACAAACTTCACAGCAAGAACTCAAAGCCCTCCCAAAGGAGCGAGGGGCTCTTGCACCCCAAAACCAGCTCTGCAAAGGCCCCTGCAAAGAGAGAAGGGAGCAAAGAGCACCCAAAGCACCCAGCCCTTTGCAGGCTGCCTGCGTTCGCCTTTGCTCCAGCCAAGCAGAAACGCACCCGTGGGGTGCGCGTGGCACCCAGCAGAAAGATTCCGGTGCACCCACGGCGGGGGACTTTGGACCCGTAACCGGCTCTATATAGAACCGCCATACATCCGCGTGGATGTATAGGCACTAACCCTCCCGGTGAGTCAGCGCCGGCCGGTGATGACACCATGTGCCGGCACGGTTGGGTTGGCAAAGGGGGTGAGCTTGTGCATACCCTGAATTACACGCACGCAACCCCTCCACCGGCACCCAATGCACCCAGCAGCTATTTGCAAACCCCCTTGCAAGGGTGCACCAATGCACCCCGGTGTATAACCTCCCTGGCACCCATAGGGTGCCCCCAGCTCCAAAAAACTCACCCTGAGCTCAGCAAAAACAGGAGCAATGAGAGATTTGCTTGCTCGCGGCCGGCGTGTTGGCACCGGTGCGGTGCCCAGCGTGCCGGCAGCACTGACTCAGCCGGGGTTAGGTGCAGGCGTCAACAGGGCTGGGCCACCCTAGGGTGCTGGGAGCTGAAACAACCCCCCCCCCAATAAATAAATTAAAAACAAATTTAAGCCAAAAACAAATTTAAAGCAAAAACAAATTTAAAGCAAAAACAAATTTAAAGCAAAAACAAATACAAATTTAAAGCAAAATATATCACCCTGCACATCACCCGCTCTGCAAGCCAAGGGGGGTCCTGGCTGCAGCAACCAGCCAAGAGCCCCCCCCAGATCCCCCCCTACAAGGCACAGGGCTGCATTTTTGCAGCAGGACTGCAAACACCTGTAAGGGTTAAGGTTCTTCTCCAGCTCCTTGCTTGGAAGCAATTTCATGCACCTCCTGCTTGCATGCAGGGCAACCTCCAAAAAAAGTCCATCAACTCCAGCAACGTGGTTTTATTCACCCACAAAAGATCAAGGATGCTCAGTGCAGGATGGGGGGGTCACCCACCCGTGATCACAACAATTTAATCCTGTCTGCCAGAGGGATTTTTTTTTTTTTTTGGCATCAAGGGTCCAGACCTTCACCCCTCCAGGAAAGGACCCACAGGATATTTGAGCAAGCAAACAGCTTGCACCTATGCTCAGCCCTTAAATAAGCAGCCGCCTCCTTCTCTTGCAGCTTTGCTGATGGAGCCCAGCTGGCCTCATCCTGCACCACCCCTTGCAAGAGCCACCCACACCTAATTTCAAATGCAAATGCCAAGCAAAACCCTGCCCCAGCAAAAAAAAAAAAAAAAATTTAAAAAACCCCTCCCTGTGCCCATTTACACCCTCCCCATAAAGCTTGACAATACGTAATGGAACAGGAACTCAATAAACTTGTTTTCATGGGCATGAATGGAGACTTTTTCAAGGAACTTTAAATATTGGGGGTTTAAATATTTGTATAGGTGCACCGTGTGCTTGTATATGATACGGGGTAGAAGTGATGTGCGTGGAGGGAGGGGTTTTATTTAAATATAACCATGCCACGTGAATATATATATATATATATATGTATTTAGAGAGATGAATGTAATTGCGGTGATGGAGCCAGTCCGGGGATGCCCTCTGCTGGCATCCTCCCTGGGAAGGCTTTGGGACACCTTCTCCAAGAGGTGTCCCAACTTCTTCCAAGGTTTTTTGGGGGTTTTTTTTTGGAAAGACCTTGCAGGGAGGCACCAAAACCTGCTGTCCGTGGCATCACAAAGATGCTGGACCTCTTGGTGCACGGTGCAAGGATGCAAGAGAGCAGCTGGGCTGGTTTTGCTCGCTGGTCTCCCAATGGCAAACCCCTCAGAGGTGCCCAAAGCCACACACAGAAAGCGTGCAAGGTGGCAAGGCAAATGCATTCGGGTTTTTTTAGCTCATCCTTTGCTTCCTCCACATCTCCCAACCATGCAATTCCCAGCAAAACAGGGTTCTTGGCAGCAAATCCCTCCCGAGACTCCACCTGCCTGCAACGTCCCGCCGGTCGGAGGCAAGCCAGACCTTAAATTCCCTTCTCGCTTGCACTAAATGCTTGGGAAAATTCAATGTACACTTCACCCGGAGGACAAATCATCTCCCAGAGCATCAGCAACTTGCTTAAAAACTCCGGCGGTGCAACCGGGCTGCAAAAGGAGCATGAGAAGGGACTTGCATTTATTGCAGCAAATCTCCTGCCAGATGCACCAGCCGGTTTTTTGCTCCCTCGCTGCAGGCAGGGCATGCAAATGCTCCCGGCACCCGTTCCCACGCTGCACCCAAAACCACCCTCTCCCCGGGACGGGGTGATTTTTGCAGAGGGTCTTATTGCAAACCCCCTTTTCCAATTGCTACGGGTCCATCCCGAATCTCACCAGCCCCAGGGATACCCCAAATATCATTGGCCAGGGATGCAAACCCCATGGCCGGATCCAGGATTGGGGAAGGCGAAGCAAGGCCAAGGTTATCCAAGGTGAGTCGCTCCCCATCCCAGACGCCCTTGGGAATTAACAGGTAAGACCAGTTTTTTCCCTATCCCAGGAAAAACCAGTTTAACCCACGGCCTGATGCAACCTGCTGAGATCGCCTCGAAATCTTCCCATCCAGCCTGTAGAACCCAACGGGCTTTTTGGGGGAAAAAAATACATTTTTAGGGACAACTGGCCGGGTTCCAGCGCTGGCAGCATTTTAATTGCATTGTGTTGCTATCGGTACCGTGGAAAACCGTTAAATAAACCAAGTCCCACCCTGCACCTTGCTCCTGGAAGCGATACTTTAATTTTTCATTTTTACCAGAATTAGGGCAAAAAAAGCTGCAGAACAGTCCCCAAAATACCCCAAATTTTAAGGGAAAAATCTGCCGTTGATAGGGGCAAGCAGGTAAATGGGAGGGGAATTTGGCCCGGGCACTCGGGCTGCACGCCGAAACCCATCCCGGCAGCGAGGGGAATCATCACCGCCAAATTATTCCTCCTCAACAAAAGCCCTTTTAAACCCCCCGGGGTGCCCGTGTTTTTTTTTTTTTTTTTGGGGGGGGGTGCTGCTGGTTTGAGACGGCGGTGCCGCTTTGCGTCCTTTCCCGGGGGAGCGCATCGCGCCGTATTTTTCTCCATCCAACCTTTGATCTCCCAAATCCAGCCGGAGCAGCGGCGGGACGGGCCGTCCCAGTGCTGAGATGCTTCGTGGATGATTCAGTAAGTAATATACTAATTTTTTATCCTGTTTAAACCACCGAGGAGGTTCTTTTTCTTAAATAACACCAGGGTTTTGCCAGCGGTTCGGCGTTTCGTGGTGGTTTTTGCAAATGGTGCCCACTGAGCCTCCCGTGAGCCCAGGTCCCCAAATTGCAAATGCATCACATATTGCAAACGCATCGCAAATTGCAAATACGTCGCATGTTGTAATTGCATCGCAAATTGTAAATCCATCCTGTCCCGGTGCGCCTGGACGGGACGGCGCAGGGACAGCAAAAATGAAGCTCCTAAGGAGGGTCAAGGCAAATGCGCACATCTTCCCCTCCTGCAAAATTTCTCTTTGCAATAAAGGGAATTGTCCCCTGGTAAAAAAACTCCGCAATAAGGAGAGTAAGCGTGCCTTCCCTCCTGCAAAAATAAATCTCTTTTTTGGGGACAGAGTGTGTCTTCCCTCTGCAATTAAACTTGCTTTGCAAGAAGGGGAGCAGAACTTTGCTCCTGCAAAAATCTTGCTTTGCAGCAAAGGGAAGGAGAGCACCTTTCCAGTGCAAAAACTCTACACGATGAAGGCAACACGTGCGCTTATTTCTTTTGAAAACCCACTTTGCAATAAAGGCAATACATGCATTTATTTCTTGGGGGAAAACCCCCACCCCTTTGCAACAGGGGAGCGAGCGCATTTTGCTCTCGCAAAAAATAATTATCATTATTCTTTGCAAGAAGGTGGGCATTTTCCTTTGCAAAAACTTAAATCCCTTAGCAAGAAGGGGAGCGTGAGCATCACTGCTGCTGCAGAAGGGGAATCCCTTTGCTCTAATTCTTCGCTCTCACCCTCCCCGAGTCTTCCTGTCCTAAAGATGGAGCTGTGTGTGCCGAGCTGGACTTTTGCAGCCTCTTCCTCTGCAAAGCAGGCTGATTTTTTTTTTTTTTTTTTTTTTTTCCCTTTCCCTTTCCTGCCCATACATGTGTTTCTGTTTTGTATTGTAGCATTTGTTCTGGCGGCTCATATTTACATTTTAAGTGCATCTGGTGGGTGGGCGCTAAGGGAGGAAAGGGAAAAAAAAAAAAAAAGAAAAAAAAATTACCTCCTTTTTTCTGCAACAGGAAACACCACCAAAAATATTGCAAAGGCCCCGAGTTGTTGCTTTCTTTATGCTGCACCCTTC